GTGGCTGTTAGGGTTCTTAGATATGATAAAAGAAAAGAATTTTTGTTAAAAATACAGGTATTTATAGAGGCAAACCCGAAACAAACCAGTTAGACCCGAACCAGGAAACCTAGTCTGACTAGGAAAATACTCATTCGGTATTTTGGCTGTAACTTTCTCATCCGACCTCAGAATGAGGTGATCTAAGACTTGTTGGAAATCTGCTGAAGAGACCTACAACTTTGGTCTTTTACACTTTTCCAAATTCTAACTACATCGGTGTGCAAAACATAAAAACTCATAACTGGTCATTATTCCCAGATTTTTACTCTTTTGACCTTTGTGCATGTTTTGTGTATTTGCACTCATATTTTCACAAATATACATTGAATTGATCTCAAATCAATTCTTATCATATCTAAATATCAAAATATATTATTTTTCACCATATAACATATTTATCATAAAATATTTAAATTTACGGGGTTTTACATCACGGTAATAGGAGACACTTCATTGGTGTGGAAACTTTGAGGCGACGAGGCGAGATGACAGATTTGGGGAGCTGTTCCTTACTGGAGGAGGATCGGTGTTTGATGTTGAGCATTGGCTTTGATGTGCGGGCTACGATATGTTTGGGCCATCTTATGCATAGGTTGCCGACTGCTGCATGTAGAGATTTTGGATTTGGTGGAGCTGTTTCAGATTTTAGGTTACGTCAGATATTTGGCTACCCAGCACTTGGTCACATCGTGGATGTGATATTTGATCCGATAGCACATTTGGGAGTCAGAGGCGTGTTTGATTATCAAGTATTGGATTTTGACTTTGTTCTGAGCAGGTATGTCATGTTTGACTCTCGACAGGTGGAGAGCAGATCTTTGGGACATCGCAGCGGGTGGAGAGTAATGCTACTCCACGTTAGGTGGAGACTCTAGATCATACTGTATCATTTGGGATTCCAGCTGATGTGACACAGATTGGAATCATGTTGATTTGGATGCAGATGATAGGTTGATCGATACGAGTGTAGCTGATAGATAGAATCTGGATATGGCTATTGGTTCATCTCAGGTGGAGATGTTTGGATTGTTTCAGTTTGGGGCCATTACTCATTAGATGTGCTATCAGCCGTAGACTTGATCGTGATGTTGGAGAATGGTTACAAACCCTTCTAGTGGATTGAGGCCTTTGGAGGCCATTTGGGTGAACTACGTTCGGCTTGATTCCTTGGGCAAGAGGATACATAGATAGTCTTTCAGATGCAGCCGGTTTGATCTGTTGATTTAGATGGGGGAGATTACGTTTCAGCTCTAGTTTGGTTCCCGGACTTGTTGAGACCGCCACGGTCGACCGCGTGGACCCTGTAGGATTTTTGGGCTCTGTCGTTTGGTTCGGTCGACCGCCGTGGTTGACCGTGAGTTTCCTGTAGCCGATTTGTTCTCTGTCGGGAGTGTTCGGTCGACCGTCGCGGTCGACCACGATACCTGCGCAGTCGACCGCCGCGGTCGACCGCATGCTGTTTGGGCTGGGCTTTGGGTTTTCAACCCGGTTCGTTTTGGAGCTGATATATAACTCTAATTCTGATTAGTTAGAGTTAAGCAATGATGATTTTGAGCAGTCTTTGGAAAGAATTGATGCATCCAATTGTGGGAGATTTATGAGAGATCTAGAGCTTTGTTTTAGGGTTTGATCGGTGAGATTTGTAACTCTATTTGTATTCTTTTGATTTCTAATAGTAAGAACTCCCCCCTCCTTGCCTCGTGGACGTAGGCAACTTGCCGAACCACGTTAAACTCGTTGTTCTTGCTGTGATTGTGATTTGCTTAGTAGTTGTGATTTATCTCGAGTTATTGTTCGTGTCGCTTTGAGAACTTCCGCCGCGCACAACATGAAGCAAGTTTATGTGAAGTGCCCTTGGGGATTCCGGTGGTCTGTTTCACGAGAAATGCAATTCTAAAATCATTCAATTGGGATGTTAAAGGTTCCAACATTTTGCTTAATGAGATTTTTGAGGCAGAAGTAGGAGATTTTGGGTTGGCAAAACTTCTAGATGTAAGGGACTCTCATTTTACTATTGCGTCTCTTTTCTCTCTTTTTTAAGATATTAATCCCTTAAATCTGGCCTATTTTGATATTAGTCCTGCAAATCTTTATATTTGATAAACCATAGCTCCTTATTTTACATCAGTCTCAATGTATTGCATACAGTAAAGATTGTAAAGGTCGAATTCAGATGGTGGCCATTAATAAGTATTTCCATAGTCACATTGGCACTTCTCCAGAAGTCAAGTTTTATTAGTCCCATACGTGATGAAATTCCTCTGTTTCTGCAATTTGCCGTATTCCCTACTCTAGTTTCTGCTCTCTTTCCTGCTCAATTTGTTGTTATGACCGTTGCTCAAACCAAAGAGTTTAAATTCCAAGTTTGTTTATTGCTCTGATTTCATTACAGAGATTATAGGATTAGAGTAATTTTAAGGTAATCAAAAATTTGAAAATCAAAACTCATTAAATTGATCTAAAATAGCAAAATCACATAATAATTCTCTCAGCCCTTCTCAGCAGACAAAGTCCATCCTCCGGCTTCTTCTACAGACTCCACCGTTCGCCATTTTCTAGGTCCTCCTCCTCTTGCCGATAAGCTTCTTCTACAGCATAACCGTCTGCATCTGCCCTCTCAATTTCTTGAAGGTCAAAGTTAAGTTCATGTGGAATAGCCTTTTATGATGTAACTTGTGGGATTGAGTTGAGGTTTACATTCTTCGCATTTGGTGATTAGATATGTTGATGAGCCAAAGAGCTCTTAGCTGATTTCAGAGGACAATTTGGAGTGCTTCGAGAGAGGCTTATAGAAATTATCATGTCTTTCTGATGAGAGAAGCACAGAGAAGATTGGTTCAATACACACAAATTTGGATATTGTAATTTATTTGGGTGCACAGGGATTTAATATATACTATTTGAGTTAGTCCAAGATGTGATAGTACGGTATTGCATTTACTGTACCATAAGTTTAGCCTTTATCATGGATGTTGTCTACACTTTACTACAATCTCTTGATTGTTATATCAATTGTTGAGTTGAGAGAAGTGGTGGACACTAAGAAATATATTATTATTATTTGTTTAGTGATATAAACACACTATACTCTCAAATACAAATACTCTCTTTCTCTCTCTTTCTCTCTTTGCTAGTGGGATCTCTCACCACACTACTCTTTATTTTTCCCTCTCTTGATCCACAAGCTCTTCAATCTTTCTTTTATTTATTCTCATTGGCTTAGGATGCTTCATAGACTCATCTTTGGCCCATAATATAGAGTTCTTACACTAGTTGGTGAAGGGAATGGTAGAGACTATTTGATTTTCAATTCCGAAAGTTTCTATAATCAAGCAAGGAGTGTTCCTGTTTGATTTTCAAACAGAAAAACAAATGCATGAGGTGCTAAAAGTAGGTCCTTGGTTCTTTGGATCTAGACCAACAATCCTTAAGCCTTGGACTATTGATACTGACATTGAGAAAATTCAAGATTATAGTTATCCAATGTGGGTTCAATTCCCAAACTTGCGTCTCAATCTGTGTACCCCAACTGGTATAAGCAAAGTTGCTAGTATCATTGGTAATCCAATTATAACTGACAAGCTTACAGCTACTAGGCAGAGACTAAGTTATGCTAGAGTTCTTTTGGAAGTGAAATTACCCCTTAAAGATGCCTTACCTGACCAGATTATCATTCAAAGCACTGATGGAAAGAACTACAACCAAAAAGTTATATATGAGCTCAAACCCAGATGGTGCTCATTATTTAATATTGTTGGTCATGAAACTGAACATTATAGAAGGCACACATTTAAAAAGAGATGGGTTCCTGTTAACAAGAAAAATGCATAAGAATAGGTTGAGCAGGTGCAGGCTGTAAATGAATTGTTGAGTGATAAGAATATACAACTTAGAAATGATGCACAAGTTCATCAAAGATATGTGCAGCAAGGACATGAGGAAAGAGGGGTCACTATTAGGCAATCTGGCCAAAAAGCATCAGTTTCTGAAAAACATGCACAAGTGCAGGAAACCAACTTCAGTAAGTCTGGAAATAATAATACAATTCAGTATCAGCCTGGAAATGATACTCAAGTTCTTCAGAAATCTTTGCAACAAGGGCATGTAGAGAGAGGAGTCAATGTTGGACAATCTAGCACAAAATATATCAATTTCTAAAAAAACATGCACAACAAGATATTGAAGAGATGCTGGGAATCAATTTCAGTAAATCTGAAAGAATCAATGCATCTGGATTACAAATGTAAATAAAGCAAATGCAGGAAGAAGAAACAAAGGGAAAATTATAGAGCCCTCTTGCATTCAAGCTTCTCAATTCTCTATTCTGGAACACAATCTATCTGATTTGGATCCCTCTTGTATTGATAGGGGTGGTTTTACTCAGTAATGCATCAGGCTTTTTGGAATGTCAGAGGATTTAATAAATCCTATAAGCATCAGATAGTTAAGCAGTTTATTCAAGACTATAAACTTTCTTTCTTAGCTCTTTTAAAAACTAAAGTAGATGGCAATAAAATGCAGTCCATAGCCAAGAAAGTAGCCAAGGACTGGGAATGGATCTCAAATTTTCATGAAGCAAACAGTGGAAGGATATGGTTTTTCTAGAACACTGATATTCTCACAGTTCAGAGTTTAGTATCCACAGAGCAACTCATGACTTGTTCAGTTGAATCTAAAGATGGCAAACTTTCTTGTTTAATCACAATCGTCTATGCTCTTAATCATATGGATGGTAGAAAAGTTCTCTGGCAAGATTTACTAGCATATAAACAAAGTGTTAATGTTTCTTGGTTAATTGGTGAAGACATCAATGCCATTTTGAATAGTGAAGATAAGCTAGGAGGTGCACAAGTTTCTGACACTAATACCATTGATTTTTAAAACTTTATCAACTCAAGCCAATTAATGCATCTCAAGGCAACAGGGTGTTACTTCACTTGGTGTAACAAACAAGAAGCTGAAACTAAGATATGGTCCAGATTAGATAGAGTTTTGGTGAATGAAGAATGGATCCACAATTACGCATCAAGTCAGGTTGAATTCCTTATGCCAAACTGTTTTGATCATTCTCCTGCCCTTATAACAATCAGTGAAGACGATTTTGAAGGCAAAAGGCCTTTCAAATTCTTCAACATGTGGACTAAACATCCTGATTTTATTCCAACAGTAGAATCAGTATGGGAACAAGACATTTGGGGATACAATATGTTTCAATTCCATATGAAGCTCAAGTGCCTGAAGTCTTACCTGAAAGAGTTGAACAAAAAACATTTTATGAACATAAGTGAGCAAAGTCATGAGAGCCAAAGAAGAATTAGCTGATATTCAGAAGCAAATGCATATGGACCTCCTAATTCAAAATTGATAACCAACGAAAAGGAATGTATCACAAAGTATGTCAGGTTACTTAACTGTGAGAATTCATTCTATAAACAAAAAGAAAATATCAATTGGAGTCTACATGGATATACATGCACCAAGTTCTTTCACTCTGTAACGAAAAACAGAAGGCATCGCAACAGAGTACTATCCATATACACAGAAGATGGGACTAGAATTACTAACATGTCTGAAAAAGTTAATGAATTCTCTGATTATTACAGAAAGCTCCTAGGAACTACTGCCACCATTGCTACACCTGACATGAATGTAATTTCAAATGGCCCTGTTCTCTCTCAAAATCAAAAAATCACTCTGAGTCTTCCCGTAAATAGGGAGGAAATCAAGAAAGTTGTCTTCTCAATGTTAGAAACAAACTGGACCTAATGGTTATAACGCATCTTTCTTTAAATCAGCCAGGGATATTATTGGTGATGATCTATATCTTGCTATTGAAGAGTTTTTTAGCTCTGGAAAACTTCTGATTTTCAACCAATATCATGTTACAATATGGTTTACAAAGTTATTTCAAAATCATTGCTAGTAGGGTTTCTGTTGGGTGTAAAAAATTGACTTCTCGCTCGAGGGGTCGTTTGTATTTATAAGATCGGCTTATTACAAACTAATGATCAATGTTTTACAACAGAAGAGAAAGGAATGACCCTTCTTGTTTAACGTGAGTTCGTTGGCAGCGGTAGGATGCCTCCCTCGGTTCTCGCGTCGAGTTTGCTTTCCTTGGACGATCCGATTGAAGTTGTGGTTGGAGCTTTAGTGTGTAGCAGAGGCTCAGGAGTGATTGAGTTCGACTATACCCGAGCTTGACAAGGTACCAAAGCCGCGAGCTTCGAGAGAGCTACAATGCAAGGATTTGTAAAGAGCTGATGAGCCTCAAATCCGAGAGTTCAGATTGAGTCTACTTCAACAATCCAAGCAAGGAGCTAGGAAGGTTCTTCCCAAGCCAAGCCAAATGAAGGCTTCTATTTTAGGAGCCTTGAAAATAATAATGCTCAGCCTCTCAACTCCACCAAAATCCAAGCCTCCAAGCCCCCTTCACGTTGGCTGAAGATGGCTATAAGTAGGCAAGGGATAGCATGAGTCATCCCTTGATTTGTGGGATTTGACCACTATTGGGTGAGGAGCATCATGCCCTCCCCTAGCTGTGGGATGTGACCAGATAAGGGTGATGAGAGCCATGTTTCATCATCACACAGGACATGGAAAGTGGGTAGGCCCACTCCCACAAGCAAGCAGCCCGCTTGCCTTGCTCAGACGAGGCTGACAAAGCAACGGGCGAGCTTGAGAGCTGGCTGAATGCTCAGGCGAGCTTGCAGGCGATCATGGCGAATAGGCGGGGTCGGCTAGCGAGCCCCTCGAACATGTGAGCTAGCATTCGTTAGCAAATAGAGTTCATGCGGGCGAACTCCCAGAAGGCGTGCTTGGCTCGTGTGGGCGGGCGAAGCATTCAGGCAAGGTTGAACTCGTGTTGGCGAGCTTAATGATTTGATAAACTTGATTCATGCGGGCGAGTCAAGCTAACAAATGATGCTTGAGCTCTGCAGGTGAGCTCAATAAACAGGCGAGATCGAGCTTTGCGGGCAAGCTCAATAGTACAAGGAGAGGTTGAGTTCTGTGGGCGAACTCAACAATTGGGAGTGGTTAAGCTCTACGGGGGAGCTCAATAAATAGGAGAGATTGAGCTCTGCAGGCGAGCTCAATGAAAAGGCGAGGTTGAGCTCTACGAGCGAGCTCAATAAGGAGAAGACAAAAAACTGTTCGTGGATCGACCCATCTGGGCTACATGGGACTACTCCTTCTTTGCTATCGGTTTCTCCAGAGCCTTTAACAACCACCAATAGGCAAACTTCTAAGAATCATATGCAGTGGTGCATCTTGGCTGAGGTACAGGGTCTTGACTTCTTGAGAAGTTGATGGCCCCTACCGGGCTAGCGGTGAAGGCGCGACTGGTTCATTATCTGGTAAGTTGACTCAATGAGGAAGTTGGCCAATGCTTGGGCTTTGATAGTCGTCCTTGGCTTAAACTGTACATCACACTTTCTTAGCTCGACCGACCAGGTGACCATACTTCTTGAAGTGGTGACGTTGCTGAGAGCTTTCTTCAAAAGCAAGCTTGTCTGGATGATTATAAAATGCGCTTGAAAGTAAGGATGAGCCTCCTAGTTGTGGTAACAAGGATGAAGGCAACCTTCTTTATGAAAGGTAGTTGAGTTCACTAGTTTTTAATATTCGGTTGACATAGTACACCGGCTTCTAGGTGTTATCCTCTTCATGAACCAAGACAGAGCTGACGGCTTCGGGAGAGATGGCTAAGTATAGATACAAGGTCTCTCCTTCTCCAGGTTGACTCAGCGGCGACTTAGGTCTTAAGTATGTCATAAGATATTTGAAGGCCACGCTGCATTTTGTCGTCCAACTCTTGCTTTCCTTGAACTCCTTGCTTAATGTTAGCATCTTGAAAAATGGGAGGCTCCTCTTGGCTGATTTGGAGAGAAAATACCCCAGTGCCGCGATCTTCCCGCTTAGCCTCTAGAAATCCATCAGTGTGCGGGGCTCGGGTAATCACTCTATGATGGATATTTTCTTTGGATTGATCTCAATGCCCCTCTGGGTGATCATGAACCCGAGGAACTTCCCCGACTATACCCTTGTAGTTTGGACAAGTTCTCTTGATCACAATCACTAGAATTCATTTGTTTGCTCTAAAAAATCCCAAAGCCAGAGAATAGAGAAGTTGCGCTAAAAATATATATAAAAAAGGGAGGAATATGAGGTTTTTCATCTTACTGAATACTTTGGATTTGACCTCCCAGTTCACATTTCCGTTCCTTGGTGCTTCCTCTGTTTTTTCTTCTACACATTTTTTTGTTTATAGGCGGTGATGGAATAGGAATAGTTACATCCCCGAGCTGTCCTAAGCTTAGTTTGAGAATCGCCTACATAGTAGCAAATTTATATGCATGTATTAATGGGTACCAATATACGCACGTACATGGTTCAATACACTAATACATATATTTCCACGTGCGTAATGTGTGTATATACACAATGCCATTGCAAGAAGACTTCTATTTAAAAGAATGATATACATTTAAATTTATGTGTTTTCATTATTTCCTACTTATTGTATTATTTAAAATCCAAAATACTCATGTTAAACATCTAGAAAAGGGCATTGGGTATGATAAAGATAATCGATAGAACTGGAATTGAAATTGCACACGCAAAATGTAACATAAATTACCTCACTGAAAGGATCTATTACGTCATCTCGCTCAATGCTACTTTCCTGGAACACAAAAGTTCATTAGATTTGAGAAAATAAATTTGATACAACTACTGATAGCAACCCGCTTACATAGTTTGGAAAGATAACCATGTCAACATTGCTAGGTACATCTGCAAGCAACCTCAAAGAATATTCTAGAGCCCCAACTAGATGCATCAATTCATCAGTATCTAGATGAATGATCCAATCCATGCCAGCATTCTACACAAACAAAAAATACTTATTGTTTCTATATTTTCTGTCCAATCACAAAATACTACAAAAATTAAAGTTTCGTATAAGTGTTTATAAAACTTATGCAATTGCCATTAAATTAAAAAAAATTATGCAATTGCAATTTCTATGAAGTTAAAACAATGTCTCAAAGAAACTCTTTTAAGAGAGATGCAATGACAAAGAAAATAGAAACAAGAAGCTCACTGCAAGGTTAAGGTTAGCCAACAACACAATTGAAAAAAGTAATTCTAGTTATGATAAAATGGTCAAATGCGCCATACCCGTGCCATAACAATAGCCATCTCCATGTTGAGTGATTGTTTTACAAATAACTCATAGTTGCAAGGTTTGTAAAAGAAGCATGCTAGCCACGTCTCGTTCCAAATACGACTACAAATTTAAGGGGAAAACACATTAGGAGGAAAACGGTATTAGATACCCGCTATCCATATAGCACAGACACGGATCCGACACGGCCATCCGACACGCCGACATGAGGCAAATCCTAAAAAATACATAGGATGTGTGTTTGACACGTGTGTCCGACACGGACACGACACGACACGGCTTCATGTTATGTGTGTCTGTGCTTCATAGCCCGCTATCACATGCCCCCAACATATATTTCAATAACTTATCAACAATTACAAAAGGCTACATCTTTCAAAGAAAGTAGTAATCAGACATCACTCAATAACTTATCAACAATTACAAAAGGCTACATCTTTCAAAGAAAGTAGTAATCAGACATCACTACTGCCAAAACTAAGTAAATAACTACCAAAAGGCTACATCTTTCAAAGAAAGTAGTAATCAGACATCACTACTGCCAAAACTAAGTAAATAACTATTATGCTCCAGCACAGTTCTTTTTTTTAAAGCAATTCCAGTGAAACACGGTTCATAAGACAAAAACTCAAAGGTAGAGAGTACTCCCTAAAGCCCTCAGGAGTATATTGACCCCTTCTATTTAAGGAAAACATATATTCATATGCTCATTTTAGTGGACTACATGACAAATCTAAACAGTTATGGTGCCAATTCCAACTGCACTCGGATACTGAGAATATCGTAGTAATAGAACTGGTCAATGAAGATCTCCAAAATTCAAGACCATGTACTTATCCCAAAAAAAAGAGGAGAAATGGTATGGAAGCTGCAAGACACAAGTAACAAATTCAGCTGACGATTTTCAACTTAAATTAACAAGTAAATATTATAAAACAAGATTCTGGGAACACAATCACCAATGATAAAGTCTTCCTCCGTAATGGAAAAAAAACATTTAAATATAATCGAGCTCTAACAAATTCAGCTGACGATTTTCAAGTTAAATTAACATGTAAATATTATAAAACAAGATTCTGGGAACATAATCACCAATGATAAAGTCTTCCTCCGTAATGGAAAAAAAAAACATTTAAATATAATCGAGCTCTAATCCATAGGTCTAACAAACTCTTCAATTTTTCAAATAGAAAAAACCCTTTCGCATCTTGGGATCTATGAAGAAAATATTGCCCGTAAAATCCCAGATTTTACTACATGAAGAAAATCATATTTTTATTGAATAAGTATCATCTATGACTCTCTTGAGTATGCATAGAATTATTTATAGGGATCCAATCCATATCTAGTTTTGTAATAATATACACATACAAAAGAGTTCTGTTTGGTGTGTTTTGGCCGTATATGGGATTGGAATATATGATGAGCTCTTGAATCAGATGTATTTCTATATAAATGTATGATGGATTTCATTGATGATTGAGTTATAAGTTTTCACAGTGTGAATTATTATTTAACTTCCATATACATGAAGAATTCATAAAAGGGTATCCGCATATTTATATTGTATACTCATACTTATTCATGAGAATCTAGATTAGTGCTCAAGCAAGTGGTAAAGTAAACACCTAAAGTTAGACGAAAAGAGAGACATTTTTTAATATCGATGGATCCTACCCACCTCTCCCAATATAGGGGGGAAAAGAATCTAATAATGTCGGTGACAACGCTTGAACTCGTGGCGCCTTGTCATATCTCAGAAGCCTAGAACTTAAGTAGGAGATCTTCAAGAAACTACGAGTGATTTAGCTGTGTAGAACTAATAACAAATGCACATGAATGCAGCGGACCATTATCTAATATAGCAAAGATTGGTGTGACTGTGAAACTCTGCTTCTAGTTTTTTTTAATTCTTGAATATGTATATATGAAAATGTAGCACAGACACATTAAACAATAAATAGATGCTGAGATCATAAAGGAACTAAAATATGAAATTATGTGTACCACAACTGACGAACTACACGATGAAGTCTTGCCCTTAAAATTGTTGACCGTCTACGATGATTGCTTACAATTTTTGATAAACTAAAATCTTGCTTATATTTTCAGCATTATGCATGGATATAATTGATAATTGTACAACGTATGACCAACATTCAACCCATTATATCATGAACTGAATGTTGAGCATTAAATAAATTTCTTAGCCACAATAATTGAAACTTGGTTGGACTTTTGCTTAAAGAGCATATTTCCATAGACAATCATATCCTTGTATAAAGAATTTCATGCCATGTAGTAACTTGAACTAACCTCTTAGCCTGTTTATCCTCGACTTCTCTAGTTTTGTAGATCACTTTTACCCCCTACCAAACAATGGCAATACACAAAAACATGAAGTTATAATCACTATTTTGAGCGAGAATTATGCGAAATGCCAAACATGTAAAAATAAATTCTTTAATATCAGACCAAAGAAGGATGAAGAAACATACAGGAATAGATTCTAGAACTGTTGAAAGATCGGGTTTTGCAGCCTTTCCTTCTACAAACAGAAAGAAGTTTATCACTCTAAGAACCTTGTGGTAAAACATCCAGGGCAGAACTTGCTCTAAGCTAGCTGAAGTACTCCACGTAATGCATATCTGAAAGTTTACATTAACATGAATCATCAGAATAGATTAGCCTATAAAAATTAGACATTGATGTGAAACAAGAAGTAACGTTAAATTATTTGCGAATTAAATTATATCTAACACATCAGAAGAATGAAAGTTACCCTCCAAGTTTCAGCACTGAGCAAGCAGAAGAAACTATGCAAATCAACTATTCACATAGTTCAAGAGATCAAAAAGTATAAAACTTGTGCCACATCATGATTTGAAAGCTATTTGTTGCTTATGTCCAGAAGAACAATTAACAAAACAAAAGAAAATTCAAATAATATTCATTACAAATTGACATATAAATAATAGTTCGTCAAGCTTCATCGTCCCCAAATAAGAGAAAAGGATGTCTTAGCAGTTAATACGCAGATGCCGAAATTAAAGTCTTACATCAATTCATTTTATTTTAAAAACATATTAGATTCTAAAGAAAAAGATTAACACAAATTCCATAATTTTAAACCGATAACCAACATAGTAGTAAACAAACTAAAAAATTAAAGGAAAAGTCAAGCCTAACGCCTCCTAAAAAGCGAAATCTCTCAGATCCAAAAATTAAAGGAACACTATTTTCTCTAAATTGGAATTATCTGAAGGTGTGTTGCCAATTAAATACCATGGTGTTCTCCTCATAAACAAGTGACTATATTACATTTGATTGTTCTTCCCTCATCTTTAGAAATAAAGTAGTTTGTGCTTATTACTGTTCTAAACAAACATATCCTAGCTGAATATGATCTATGGATGCATTGTTGGTAAAATTTCACCCTCTAGATTGAGCTATTAAGCTCTTTGTATTTTTTAATTTCTCAAACTTTTGAGTATATTGATGTAATATAAACGCTGACTTGATGAATGAATGAAGTTTTTCATTGATCAAAAAATGATAAGTGTTACGACATGAAGCCATGAAGGAGTTAATATGCTAGAATTTATCACAAGCCTCGACTAAAAAGTGGAGTGCAGCCTATTCAGAGGAATATTTGATCTAAAGGAGTAGTAGTTGGAGACAAGGATCAAGAGTGGAGTGTGCTCAAATAGTATAATTATCCTATGAATAAAATATATGTATCAGCTGTGAAGTAAAAAAAGGTTAATTTCCTTGATGGAGAGATTATTATTGTAAATAGCGAGTAATAGCATGGCTCTTCGAGATTCCTCTGATTCTCTTTTACATCAGAGTTGGAGGTCGATCAAATCAGTTGTCAATAGAAGGAAAGTACAAGGTTATAGTCGTCCATGGATGTGGGATTTTATAATGTTAGGGTTCTTAACCATATTGCCTCCCAAATAGAAATTAGTAAAACAATGTTGAAATTAGTTATTCAAAGTTAGGAGTTAATTGTAATTTACTCTAGTTAGTATTTTATTTTGTTAGAGAGAAGATCCTGCGTGATCCTCTCATAATTCTTTCTATTTTGTGGAACAGAATCAATTAGTTCCTTTTCTGTTTTTATTCCCTAGTTAACAATATATATGTAATTCTTTCCTCAGAAATACAATAAGAAAGAGTTCTCAATTTCTTCATGGTATCAGAGCAATTCTTCTGAACCCTAGCAGCGCCGCCCACCATATTCTCTCCACCACCTCTTCATCGACGCGACTGAATCCTTCCCATTCTTCACCTCTCATCGTTTCTAAGATGACGAAATATGGAATGACTTCTTCGCAAACATCCATCACGTCGTCTGATACTACATCACCGTCGGGAGGAAATATGGAGACTACACACTCTTGGTGGACCTAATTCTTCGCCTATTCTGATCACTAGTCATAAACTGAATGGCCACAACTTTCTTCAGGTGGTCCTCAATCAGTTATGATGTTCATCTGTGAAGCGGCAAAGATGATTATCTCACGGGTGAGGCAACTATGGCTGCTACATCAGATCCTGGCTACAGGAAATGGAAAACAGAAAATAATATGATCATGTCATGGCTCATCAACTCCATGAACAATGACATTGCTGAGAATTTTCTCTTATTCGAACTGCAAAGGAGATTTGGGACGCAGCACGAGAAACTTACTCAAGCTCCGAAAACGCCTCGGAACTATTCAGATTGAAACACTCCTACACCGACTTCCTGCCAAGGAGACCAGTCAGTTACACAATACTTCAATGCCATCAATAGGCACTGGCAGCAGCTTGACCTCTTTGAAACATATCCATGGAAGTGCTCTGAAGATACAATATTGTACAAGAAAATTGTAGAACAGAAGAGAATATTCAAATTTCTTCTAGGACTTAATAAAGGCCTAGATCAAGTTCGAAGCCGTATCATAGGCACAAAACCTCTACCAAGCCTTCGTGAGGTATTCTCTGAGGTCAGACGTGAAGAAAGTAGAAAGAAAGTGATGATGGGGCCATCAGAATCAACACTAGATGCATCTGCTCTTGCTGCTCGTGGATCCAACAACACAATCCCGGGTGAGACTCGGAAAAAGGGGGAGAGACCTTGGTGCGATCACTGTCATAAACTCGGTCACTATAAGGAGACCTGCTGGAAGATTCATGGCAAGCCTGCTGACTGGAAACCAAAACCTAGGAATGACCGAGATAGTCGTGCACATGTGGCATCCAGCACAGCTATTCAGAGCCCATCCGAACCCAGTCCATTCAGCAAGGAACAAATAGAAATTCTTCAACAATTGTTCACTCAAGCAACACTGAATTCTTCTAATGCAGGGACTAGTTTAATAGCTCAGAAGGAGTCTCATTCTGCTCTCACAGCCACTAAAGGTGTTAGCAGACCCTGGATTGTTGATACCGGAGCCTCAGACCATATGACAGGAGATGCCTCACTGTTCCATAATTATAGAACCAGCAACGACAACTCCTCAGTGCGAATTGCTGATGGCTCACACTCCAAAATTGTAGGAACAGGTTCTATACAACTCTCAAAAGAGTTACATCTCACCTCTGTTCTTCATGTGCCTGGCTTAGATTGTAATTTACTCTCAATAAGCAAGTTGACTCGTGATCTCAACTGTATAACTAAATTCTATCCAAATCTGTGTATTTTGCAGGACTTGGATTCGGGGAAGATGATTGGCAGTGCTGAACTGTGTAATGGGCTCTATCTTCTCAAATGTCCTCCTTTCAATTCCTATTCAAGAGCAAATTCTGTCAAAGCTTGTTCTTTTAATTCCATTTCCAGTTTGAGTGTCAATAACGATATTGAAATTGTTTTGTTACATTATCGATTGGGTCATCCGAGTTTCATGTATCTTGCTAAACTTTTTCCCAAGTTATTTATCAATAAAAATCCTTCTTCTTTTCATTGTGAAATTTGTCAATTTGCTAAACACACTCGACATTCTTATACACGTCTTGAATATAAGCCTTCAAATCCGTTCTCTTTAATTCATAGTGATGTGTGGGGTCCTTCTCGAATCAAAAATATTTCGGGGGCCCGTTGGTTTGTTTCGTTTGTTGATGATCATTCACGTCTTACTTGGGTATTTCTTATGAAAGAAAAATCTGAGGTTTGTCAAATCTTTCAAAGTTTCAACACCATGATCCAAAATCAATTCAAGACCAAAATCCAAGTTCTCAAAACTGACAATGCAAAAGAATATTTCACAGGCAATCTCAACTCATATCTCCTTGAACAAGGTATCATTCACATCAGTTCGTGTGTTGAAACCCCTCAACAAAATGGGGTTGTCGAACGCAAGAACAAACATCTCCTCGAGGTTGCTCGCTGTCTCATGTTCTCCTCCAATGTACCAAAATTTTTCTGGGGTGAAGCTATTCTTACCGCTACCTATCTCATAAACAGAATGCCATCTCGAATTCTGGGGTTCCATTGTCCTCATCAAGTATTTCTTGATTTCTTTCCTCACTCCAGGTTTGTTTCTCCTGATTTGCCTCCAAAAATATTCGGTTGTACTTCCTTTGTACATATCCACTCACAACACAGAAGCAAACTTGATCCTAGGGCTCTAAAATGTATTTTCTTAGGATATGCTCCTCATCAAAAAGGTTACAAATGCTACTCCCCACATACAAGAAAGGTATACGTATCCATGGATGTCACATTCTTTGAAAAACTGTCCTTCTATCCCAAACCTGCAATTCAGGGGGAGAGTGAGAGTGAATGTCAATTTTGGGAAAATTTATTAGAGCCCTCACAGCATTCACAAAATTCTACAAATCAGTCCCAAGAGCAACAGACAGAACCTCCTTCCAATACCTCTCAGTCACCTCGTTTGTCATCATCACTTGAGCCTTCAGAGTCCTCTCCAGCACAAATTCCACGTCAAATTCCCATTTTCCCTCAGCTTGCTCATGAAAACCTCAAAGTCTATCAAAGAAGACAAAATAGACAGGAAATAGAGCAAGAAACACAGCCAGCAATCCAAAATTCTGAACCGGATTCATGTCCTCCTGAAGACACTACATGTACGGATAGTGTTGTCCCTGATGAGCCTATGATTCCATTCATTCATGACTTAAACAAGTCTATTGTAGAAAGGAAAGGAGTACGGAAGTGCACTAGTCATCCAATTGCCAATTATATATCATATGATGGCTTATCTTCATCATACAAAGCATTTATTTCTTCCTTGGATAGTATACAGGTTCCTAACAATATACATGAAGCTCTTAATCATCCGGGTTGGAAGAAAGCTGTTCAAGAGGAAATAGATGCCCTCGAGAAGAATGGAACATGGATTCTCACTGACCTTCCAGCAGGAAAACGGCTAGTTGGGTGCAAGTGGATATTCACAGTTAAATATAAGGCAGATGGGAGTGTTGAGAGACTCAAAGCTCGGCTTGTAGCTAAAGGATTCACGCAATCATATGGGATTGACTACCAAGAAACATTTGCTCCAGTGGCAAAACTCAACACCATTAGAATTCTACTCTCTTTGGATGTCAATCATGATTGGAATTTATACCAACTGGATATAAAAAATGCCTTTCTCAATGGAGATCTCGAAGAAGAAGTATACATGGAAATTCCCCCAGGACTTGAATGGAATCTCACTGGACACAAGGTGTGCCAGCTTAAAAAGTCGTTGTATGGTCTAAAACAATCTCCTCGAGCATGGTTTGACAAGTTTGCAAAGGCCGTTATGAGGTTCGGCTATGTTCAGTGTCAGGCAGACCATACGTTATTCATTCGGACATCACCAACCAGGAAGATTGCACTCTTGATAGTATATGTTGATGACATTATACTTTCGGGAGATGATGAGGAAGAACTACACAGATTGAAGGATCGTCTAGCCCAAGAGTTTGAAGTCAAAGATTTGGGGAGTCTCAAATACTTCCTTGGGATGGAAGTGGCTAGATCTCGGAAGGGGATTGTTGTTTCCCAACGAAAGTACACTCTGGACTTACTGAAGGAGACTGGTATGCTTGGTTGCAAACCTGTTGATACACCGATGGATCCCTACAAGAAGATTGGCTTAGAAAAAGATAGCACTCCAGTCGACAGGGGGAGATATCATAGGCTAGTTGGAAGACTGATATACCTTTCACATACTCGACCTGATCTTGGCTTTGCTGTTAGCGTTGTCAGCCAATTCATGCACAGTCCAACAGAAGAGCACATAATGCAGTCTACAGAATACTGAAATATCTAAAAATGACTCCTGGGAAGGGATTATTTTTCAAAAAATCAGAAAACCGAAGCATTGAAATTTATTCAGATGCTGATTGGGCTGGAGACATTTCAGATAGGAGGTCTACTTCAGCTTATTGTTCCTTTGTCTGGGGAAACCTAGTGACTTGGAGAAGTAAGAAACAATCAGTTGTTGCTAGGAGCAGTGCCGAAGCAGAATTCAGAGCATTGGCTCATGGAATTTGCGAAGGAATCTGGATAAGAAGACTTCTTAGTGAACTTGGTATGAGCAATCCTTCATCCATTCAAATGATGTGTGACAATCAAGCTGCAATTAGCATTGCTAAGAACCCAGTTCATCATGATCGTACCAAGCACGTCGAGATTGATAGACACTTCATTTCCGAGAAGATCTCCAGTGCAGTCGTGCAACTGAATTACACTCCTACGCACCAACAGATCGCAGACATCCTCACCAAAGCATTGCCACGTCCTAACTTTGAAGATTTGAGTAGCAAGCTGGGGTTGTATGATTTATATACACCAGCTTGAGGGGGAGTGTTGAAATTAGTTATTCAAAGTTAGGAGTTAATTGTAATTTACTCTAGTTAGTATTTTATTTTGTTAGAGAGAAGATCCTGCGTGATCCTCTTCATGATTCTTTCCTATTTTGTGGGAACAGAATCAATTAGTTCCTTTTCTGTTTTTATTCCCTAGTTAACAATATATATGTAATTCTTTCCTCAGAATAAA